CTACAGAAATGAATGTCTTGATGGAGAAAATGAACTTTTGTCTGTAGTTTTCATTTGTTTTTTTATTTTTTTTATCTTTTTAACATGAATTTTTTAACACTCCTTGTGTTGGTCAAACAATCTCTTTTAAGTTGTTATCTGAGGTAAGAGCTGGATGGATCTATGAATTCCCGTGGTCAGTTTGACAGTTTTATTAGTCCTGGAGAGGGGATGTGTCTCTGTTTAGTGTTTGTGTGTGTGTTATTTGGTTCTTAGGGAGTGAGTGAGTATGATATGTGTAAGCGTGTGTATTGCTGTGGGTGTGTGTTATCATTTGGCTCATTAGGGAGTGAATGAATTTGGTGTGTGTAAGTGTGTTTATTTGTGTGGATGTGTGTATAAGTGTGAGGCTCCCACAACTCTGTAAGCATGTCTGTCTTGTGTGGGTTAGAAATGTGGGTAGGTTTTGATTTGTTGAGTTATATATTAGTACTATCTATATTGTTAAATTTATGTTTTAGCCCGGCTGGATATTGTGATTTCAGACGTTGTATCCACTTATTTTCATGGGACTCTGGCATAGTGTGCATTCTCGGAGGCAAATTATGTTATGACTTCTACAGTTAGAATCGTGGTAGATTTTGAAAGTAGATTTAGTGATTGCGCTAGTGAATGAATTCGTTTGTTTAATATGGTTGCAACATAAACTTCATTTGTTGTTACATGGTTGGGAAAATCCTGTTGTTTTTGTTCTTAGTTTATTACGGATTACCTTGTCCCCTGAAATGTGGTTACTACCTATGATTTCTTTTAGGTTTTTAGGTCTACGATATGCAAGAAGGCCAGGTTCCTTAAACAATTTTTTTAGGTCTGGTTTGAGATGTAGTATTTCCCAGCGGCGTTTGATTATTTGGGATAGTGGAGGCAGAGTGGGATTGAAAGTGGTTACTAGAGGGATGCGGCTAGATTTATTTTTAATCTTGTACATTAGGGTGTCTTCTCTAGGTGTGGAAATTGCTTTATTTATTTGTTCCCTAATTAGGTGCTGTTTATAGCCACGTGTTGTGAATTGATGTTCCAGATTTTCAATGTGTTTATTTAATTCTTCATTGTTGGAACATATCCTTCTGAGTCTGTATGTATAAAGACGAAAGGAAGACATATCTTCCTTCTTGGACTTCATCAAGGCACCTATAAGGATTTTATTTTACAAATATTTATAAGCAAAGTTAAAATATTGATAATTTTTCTGAATTGTTTTTGCTAAAGAATGCCAAACTAATTAAAAGTGAAAGTAACTTTCTTAGAATTTTTGAGAGTACTGCTATCGATTCTTACCAAAATATAAATCTGAGCCCCGGATTTTTTTCAAATATCTCTGTTCCTGAAAGAATTCCTCCTTCCCCAGCTATAAAAATGTTAAAAAGTAAAAGGAAACGGTTAGATCCATAACCTCTTGTTGTTTAAAATATATAATACATACATTTTTCCAAAACTAAAATAATCTGAATATTAATTATATTAAATTTTTTTTAAAAATCACAAATACCATAATTTACTCTCTTTTGTTTATTGCACATTAAATTAAGTCACTTTTGTTATAGCATACCTATGTACGATAATGGGTATGCCCCCATTCCCATAAATACAGTAGTGAATACTGTATGTTCGTCGACCGTTGGAAATTCACTTGACTCATTTCTAGCAGTTGACTACTACGCGCCGCTAGCGAATCTTATAGCTTGTTCTTTCCTAAGTATTATCTTTCATTGCCAACTTTCGTTTGAGTGTTCTATTCAGTAATCTTTCCTAGGTTACAACATTTAGCATCCTACATAATTCACTTAGATTTTTCATTTAGTCTTATGTATATTTATCAGGGTCCTCCAAAGATTTGCTGAAATGAGTATACATAATGAAAAAAAATGCCCCAAGCTTAAAAAAAAAACAACAAAGTTTTATTGTCAAAATCTTTATGCTACTATTAAGAGTGAAGACCAAAGAATTTTTTATTATTATTACATCATATTTTTAGAAACTTTTTTTCAAAATATTGGTTAGATTTATTTCTTGTGTCAGCGGCTGACTGTAAATTAGTATAGGAAATTATTTACATCATTTTATGGTGAAAAACATTGATTTAGGAATTCTTGCGGAATCAAATGCGGATTGTGACATATCTTTCTTCTCTAATGGACTTCATCAAGGCACCTGTAAGGATTTTATTTTACAAATATTTATAAGCAAAGTTAAAATATTGATAATTTTTCTGAATTGTTTTTGCTAAAGAATGCCAAACTAATTAAAAGTGAAAGTAACTTTCTTAGAATTTTTGAGAGTACTGCTATCGATTCTTACCAAAATATAAATCTGGGCCCCGGTTTTTTTTTTCAAATATCTCTGTTCCTGAAAGAATCCCCCCTTCCCCAGCTATAAAAATGTTAAAAAGTAAAAGGAAACAGTTAGATCCATAACCTCTTGTTGTTTAAAATACATAAATTCTTCCCAAACTAAAATAATCTGAATATTAATTATATTATTTTTTTTTAAAAATCACAAATACCATAATTTACTCTCTTTTGTTTATTGCACATTAAATTAAGTCAAAACTAAGAACATCTGGACTTATTCACATTGTCATTTTAAAGATATATTTTTAGTTATATCTTAAATTTAACACATTCACACAAACACACACACACAGATATATATATATATATATATATATATATATATATATATATATATATATATATATATATATAATTGACTCTTCCGTCGAGATTCGACGTATGAGGGTCAAGCAGATCAGTTTCCAGGAAACCGACAGCCCGACACCGGCATATGAGATTTGATTATAGTGGTGAAGGCTTCGTGTAGGACGAATACAGAGACCTGGTGCACCCCAAACGACCCTCCGCAGGTTTTGAATTCAGAGTTGTCCTTCTCCTAGACCAGTCTGTCCTGCTATTTTACCCATAGCTGGAGGGAGAGGAAGAGGATTCATACCTTTCCCAAGGGTATTAGCACGTAAGTTAACGTAATGGATTCGACTGGAATTCGAACTCGGCTCTGCGATTCCTCAATCCAAGCCGCTATCCATTAATCCACCGTGCCTTTTTTATATATATATATATATATATATATATATATATATATATATATATATATATATATATATATATATATATATATATATAAATATATATATATATATATATATACAAAAATGGGAAATGCGCGGTAGATTAATATTTGATAATTTTCTATGGCAGCACTCTCAATTTTTTTCTGAGTGATTTTTTTTAAGTGTAGCATTTTAAAATCGAAATTATTGTTGAATTTATTTCTATGTATGCGTTTTTTCAAACTTCTACTTGTTTCTCCACTAGTCATACATAGAAATAAATTCAACCAGAATTTTAATTCTAAAAATGCTACACTCATAAAAAAGAAAATAACTCACTCAGAAGGAAAATCCTCGAGAGTGCCGCCATTGAATATTACCCAAATATTAATCCACGCCCATTTTTCCCTTTATTTCACCTTTTCTTAACAAAAGGAATGCTCTCTTACAAATATATATATATATATATATATATATATATATATATATATATATATATAAGGAATAAAAAGACAACAAAATGATAACAACATTGGCAATAAGATAGATTATATTTATTATATATTAGCCGATTGAATAATTTGAAGCCCGAAGATTTTGAAGTCGAAATTTTCGGACACGCCAGTGACCTATTTCAACGTGACGAGGAATAAAAAAAGAAGTGGGAATGTTTTTGTTGTCGCTGTTTGTTAAAGGGGTCCCTGTGGAAACTCTGAGTAAAACCAAATCTCTGTTTAATACTCTGATATATATTTATATATGTGCGTATGTGATACTTTTTTTTTCCTTTAATATTTCTTTTTTACATTAGCTAAACAGTTTTTTTTTACGATCAGCGCCAATTTTCCGACTTTGATATTTTACGATTTCTTTCAGTCTTTTCTTTCTTTTCCTACAATGTAATTCTTCAAGGACATTTTTCCATTAATTTTCTTTTCTTTTTTTTCCATGTTTTTCTTTTTTGCTCTAGATGTTACTTCCAGAACCATTTGTTTCTGCGAATCCCTGCAATGGAATCATTTTCCTCATCACTTTCACACATCTTCGCGAATATTATAATTCAATATTCATACTGCAATCCGTTAATGCATGGATTATCATCAACGTCTTTCATAATGTCGTCTTTATTTCATTTACTCTTTTTTATTATTATTATTCTTTTGTAATATGTTTAGAAAGCAGACAAAAAAAACATTTTTGTGCCTTATTTGATTAATTCCTCTTCTGCTTCTTCCACTTTGGCGTCATTACCAGATGACGGTGCCATGCTGATGCATTAATATGAAGAAATCATTTTGAATTCTACAGAAGATATACCTTTTTTTTAACAAGAGATTGAGACAAAAGACCTGAGCGCCATCTTGTGTACAATTTTATGACGAACTTTAAATTGTTTTTGAAATTGAATTAACTTAATTAGCTTTTTATTTCTCGGTCAATTTTTTTTTATATTCTTAAGTGTTATATCCTTTCCGTATTTTTCTGTTTTTTTTTTTTAAGTAAATCTGACTCTTTAATGTCCATTTTTTTTCCTCCAGCAAGTGGTTCAAGAATTAAGATTCTAGATATACCTATCCAAAATAGAAACTAGGATTTGGAATGGAAACAAAAGCAGTTAGTGCATAAACCTTGAATCCATCATAAAATATTTAGGATGTGATATTAATAATTACCAAATGTCTAGGTGTATCGATCATTTATAACAAATAAAGACTTGAAGATAAAGAAAGTCATCATACAATAATCTGTGCTAAATGTACTTTCACCAAAAACCATAAGTAGCTACAAAGGCAAGAGATTAGCTGTGACACCATTTAGGGGCACGAAAAGAAAAAAGGAAAAAAAGAAAGGAAAAAGAGAAAGGAAAGAAAGGAAAAGAGAGGCGAGACTTAAGCTTAGATGATAAAAGAAGCCACCCACGACCGGGGACATTGACAATGTTATTTTGATAAGTAACAAATGGTGAAATGTTTCATTACCATTGCAGAAAAAATTCTAAATGGATAAGAAAATCGACTATGTTCTGGTGGCGGACTTGTGTTATCGGGGATAGATAACAGCCACTTAATGCTGGCGAACATCTAATTAACAAACCACAGACCGGCTAGCTAAAAACTCCGAGACAATTCGACAATATTATTTTGATAATGGATAAGATGGTGAAAATTTGACCACCAGTGTCGTAGAACTGTCTGACAAAGAACAGGTGAATACAGAGCTTTGGATAGATAAGAAAAATTAACTGTGTCAGAGGGGGCATACAATATTGTCGGGAAAGGATTTAATAGGTCGTCTGCTAACCGCGCACGAAGCCAACCCTGGGTCACGTCTTGGCCGTTTTGACAAGACATCTATGGGTGTTAGAATTCGGTTGTGATAATGAAACTATGTTTACAGAAATTGGCACCAAGAATGCAAATACGGCTAGGACAATGGAACTGTTTTGTCGAGACGACGGTCGACTGTGTTTCGCTAGACGACTACCCCACTTGATAATTGGCATTGATAGATCCCAGGTGACATTGGGGGATGAGAGCTGCGATTAAGGAAAGAAAAGGAAAAGAAAAAGATAATCTTTTTTTGAGCAAGATATATTTTTTTTCCTAAAACAAAGCCAGCCGGATCACACCCACCCGGCTGGACGCTATTGGCCGAATGATAACGAGGGCCAGGCGGAGGTGATCATGTGACGTAAGGAGGGAAGCCGCCGCCGCCGCAGCCCATTTAGAGGATAGGTATGAGAAGTTGCTACGAAGAAGTGGGGGGAACCGTTGACGCCCCTCTGAAATATGGTGAGATATCCATATGAGAATAAGAGAAGGTGGGAGTAATAGAAGACTTCCAAAAATGGAAAGGAGTGGAAAATTCCTAACCAAAAATAAAAGAAGTGGATATGGATTTAGAATTATCGAGGAACCTCCAACCCCGACAAACCGACCCCGGTTTTGGTCGGCGTACATATAAGCAAAGTCGCAGCGAGCAAAAATCAGTTGAGTTCAGTTCAGAACAGTTCAATCAAGAGTTCAGAGGAGTTCAATCCAGAGTGCTCAGTTGAAGCAGACCTCGCAGAGCTGACTTGAAAGATTCGCTCAACATCCGAACTCATCTTCAATCCAAGAACAATTTATTTTGAAGAGCGACTTAGATCCATCCCACCAAAATAAGTTTTTCGACTATCGCCTGAGGACACACCAAGAACAAATTTCTTAAAGAACAGACAACTTGAAATGTTAAAACTCACCTAACAAAAACAACGTGTCACAATCCATATATTCGGTAGGGAGATAGACGCAGTCCTATGTATCCAGCAACCAGATATAAAGTATTGTTATCCTTTTATTGATACCTTTGAACTTTTGAGTTATCATTTTATTTTATTTTATACATATTTGTGTGATACCACCCTCGTTTGAAATCAATTTGCATTACGGCCCCAACGACTGATTGATTTCATCTGCCTAAGATCAATTCACAACGTGGGTAGGCGGACTGGAGATCAACGCAGTTACTTTGGTAACCAGACGTTGGAAGCGAGTTGGGAACGACGAGGCTGATATCGAATCTAACCAGATTCCCGTCCGAATCACCAAAAGGTTAGAACGTCACATTTGTGTGCCGTGACCAATACCAAGCCAGTTGATCGTCACAGGACGGGACAACACGACTGACGCAGGCAGGCGGACGTCACGTTTGGAGCAGCGACACACGAACGAAGCAGCGAGGAGAGAGAGAAGGCTGTGGAGAGGGACGTCACATAACCAAAGAATACGTTCTTAAACAGTTTCGTGGGATCGGTAATTTCAATGTAATATCTGGCAACAACCTCATGCAGAAATATCTAAAGTGTGCGAAACAACTTTGTCACATGAATTTTGTCAAGTCAACGTTCACTCATATTCGTCAAGTAGGTTAAATGCTGTTTCAAACCTGCTTCTGTTGTTTTCAGTATACGATGTTTATGTTAAATTCTTCAAACATAATTCCTTATCATATATTCTAATTTATCTGAGCTACCATTTTTCTGATTGTTAGCACTAGCTTCTTTACAGGTCCCAATTATTCACAAAACTTCAGATTTAATCGCAGTCCCTGTCTATGTTATTCCCAAAATTCCTCATTACAACAACATACCGGGTGTAACAACAAAATTGTCCAAATCGTGTAACAGTATAATTTTCCATCCCAGAAAATGTTTAATATCTAAAAAAAACAGTAAACTTCTTTTTTCCAGGTTTTCTGATAAGACATTTAGCCATCTTGATACCATTTGTCGTAAGAATCACTGAAAACCCTATTAATAATGACCCTAAGATGACGGTCTGAGTAGTGATGAAGGAAGGGTTAAGCAATGTTAAAAGGAAAATTATCATTCAGGCCTTCAGTAATGGTATCAATATTCATACACTGGCTTCCATGTTCAAAGTCCATCCAGGAAACATCAAGCGAACGGTGAATAAGTTTAAAAAAGAGCGAACAGTAGAGAGGAAAACAGGACCAAGAATTCACAACAGCAAGAAGGATCTTCATTTGAACCTAGAGCTGAAAAGATCAATTAGAAAAGATCCAACTCTGTTCATAAGACATTTGGCACATAAGAGGAGTTTCAGCTATAACAGTCCAAAGAGCAGTGAAAATGGATTGAAAATTTAATTGTACTTGAAATCTCCAAGGTACCTTGTTACCCCTGGTCAGAAAGTTAGAAGGTTAGAGAGGGCGAAGATCATCTTGAATAAGTTGAAAAATAACCCTGAAATAATGCACATATATATATATATATATATATATATATTATGAAAATAAAAACGGCAAGACGAGCTTTACCATTCACGATTAAAAGAAATACACACACACACACATATATATATATATATATATATATATATATATATATATATATATATATATATATATATATATTAAATTAATTTCAATCTTTCATGAGCTTCCGATATTTAGCTATGATTAATTATTGATGAAGATATAATTTTCGTTTATGATCTATTTCATCATGGTTCTTCTCTGAAGCTTGTAGAGTAATTATGCATTCATATTGCTCAAAATAGAGACAAATGGAGTCCAAAAATTTCGGAGAATTCCAGTAAGATATCTTTAATCATTTCTACGACACAACGACGGTTCAAAGCTTAATCTAAGAATTGTACAATTTTTCTTTTGCTCGATTTGAACAATATTGCTGTTACACCCCTGTATATACATTTGCTTTTTCATCTCTGAGGAAATTATTCCGTATTCATTGTTATTATAATGAAGCACATTTTGTTCCGTTTCTCAGTATATTTTAATATCTCTTAACGAATTACCTAATTTCGAAAAGACCGTTTTGCATTTTCCTTTTCGTCTTCGGATTTCGGTGTCACTTTTTCCGCTTGATTTGACGTCCTCGATACACTTTTGGACTATCATTTTTCTGGCAAGTGTGCTTTCTCTGTTCTAACATTTAGTAGTTAGTCCTTTCTTCATGTTTTCCTTTACTAACTTGTCTAAGAATTCTTTCAGATCTCCTTCCCAATAAGCAATTGATAATAAGATCGCTGTTTAAGAGAATTAATAAAAATTCAGAAACAAGCTGAATGGATGCCACAAATATATATTTTAATCAATTCACTCCAAGCAAGGTGATGAAGCCGCTATGACGCAAGAGGTTAGTGAAAGTGTAAGAGAATGAGAAAACTTCAAAATAAGCGAAAACCCAATCATAAAAAGAAACAAGGGATAAAACTCTACTCCAGTTCAGAAGAGAGGGAAGCAGTGTGAACCGGGCGATATACGAATTTACGGGAGAAACATTGGTCAGCGTTGATTTGCACTTCTTGTTCGACATAATTATAGTCTTTTTCAAAGAAATAAATTCTCTGATAAAGAAAAAAAATAAGAAAATTTTCCATATATCTCAAAGAGACAATTTCCTACGGCATTAAATCTGTCGGTATCTGTCTATATTTCTAAGATGAGGTATTATGTACACTATTTACATTATTCGGACTATTGTTTCGGCCGTTGTACGCCCCGGCATTCTTCAGGTTGTTGGAATTCTGAACTGAACCCTTTATTTCGCTCGCTGGCGTAGACTGTTCTAGTTCCACGTTCAATTATTAGTTATCTCCTGTTAATTCTCCTCTCTAAGTTATCTACTTCCTTAACCGGGTATTGAACTCACACTATTTGGGTCCTGTCACTGGATCTAACTAACGCCTTTATCCTCTGTGCCATGTGTCCTTGATAACTGACATCCATTAAACATGGCACGTGGAACTAGAACTGTTTACGCTAGTGAGCGAAATAAAGGGTTCAGTTCGACATTCCAACGACCTGAAGAAGACCGGAGCGTACAACGGCCGAAATATTGTGATAAATTTAGCGACAAAGATGAGGACAATAGTCCCAATAATGTAAATACTGTATTAAATCTTCGGTTCGTGAATTTGGTGACAGAGTCGTTGTGAGTTCAATCTGTGGACCGCGCAGTGTGTACTTTGAATCAGTGGAATAACTAATCAGTACTATAAACAAGAACTATACGAGATATCCCTAGACATAGGCAGTGGAAGAGTGTGTACTTGGACTCAGTGGAAACACTGCGAACAATAAGTGAACAGTATTAAAACTAAGAACTATACGAGATATCCCTAGACATGGACAGTGTAACAACAGTAGTCTACTTCCGTAAATTAAATAGACGTTCAATTCAGAATTCCCTGTGGGTTATCCAGATGGATATACGACTGAGGAAGACCGGAGGGTATAACGACCGAAACGTTGTGATAACAGAAATAAAGTTGAGGACAATAGTTCGAATATAAATAGTGTAAATAATGACCCCAATAATTCAGACAGAAATTATCTCAAAGAGCTTTCAACATGTCAATTCAAACA